ATTTGGGTTGCTTGATGCACTAAAATCAAGTTAGCAAGTGTACTAGTCGCTCCAAATAATATAATGATGAGAGAGCGTCGAACCCACGAGAATTGTGTTTAAATAAGTACCAAAATAATTAATCCAAATAAGAAAGTTTAACTAAAAGAATAATAAAAGGAAAATAACAATTAAATTAAAGCTAACTAAGATATGAGGTACTAAGGCATTGACTTCGTCATAATCAATCAATATAAATTCTGGATTACCAAATTATTGAGTGTTATTGCATGTGATGTTGGATTTCCCTAAATTAATTAACTAGCTTTCTTAAGTCAAGTTAATTCTTCACTTGTTTGTTAAATTAATAATATTTTTATGTAATTTTAAACAAACTTATGAGTATTAAATTTTATGGAAACCTCTAGCTTAAGAAGGGGGGGTTCCTAACTCTCTTCTCTTCCTCCACTACCGCATGTGAGCTAATTACCTCTCGGTCTTATAGTCTAGCACACGGTTTATATTATTATTGGTCTAATTTACGCAATTCTTTCTCAAGTTCATACATAAATCACTAAATCAATTGAAAGGTGATCAGACTTCCAATACATTAAGTTCAATAATATAAACTTCTCATACAAATGACTTTAATTGAAAGCATAAAATCACTAAATTCATATTGAATTGATTAGGCTACATCATAACCCTAGTAGAATAAATCAGCTTATAATAAAAATAATAAAATATGAAATCAAAGTTATGAACACTCAAATATCAAACAATAGATAAAAACCCAAGGAAAAACAAAACCCAATTTGAGGAAATCGAACTCTTTGATTTTCTATTGTTGATGGAACCTCAATCTTGATCTCCAATAATGCCCAAAAGAGGGCTGCCACTAGTCTTTCAAAACTCCTTTAATTCTGAATTTGGATGGGTATTTATTGGATTTTAGAAACCCTAATTGAAATAGAAGTAGGACTTGGAATAGAAATAGGAAACTGAATTTTGGATGCTGATCGCGTGGTGGTGCTGACACTTCGGATTACGTGTTGACACAAAATAGGAAACAAAATTTGATTCTGGACGTTTAACTCATGGTGTATAGACCCCGGTTACGTGTCGACACTATACTGTGTCGGGTTTTTGGCCTCTTTTTGCAATTTCTTCAATGGTAAAATAGCAGATCTGGTCCTCCAGATTTCGTACCATGAGCACTTAATCCCAAAACTCAAGATTCATTCATTTAGGTTCCAAATGGCCACTCTTCTTCTTGCAATTCAGTCCCTCAACTTTTAGAAATACTCAATAAATCCTAAAAACTCTTATTTTATGCATTCAAATCCTTTTTTGCACAAAGAATGAAAATCATGTAAAGTCTCATAAAACTCAGTAAAATCTCATAAAACTCATCCAAATATCAATAATATCAAGGCAACAATTTCACATTAATATGTATACAATTTCAACTCATCAAATTCCCTCAAACTTAAGTTTTACTCGTCCTCGAGTAAAATAAAAAGACAAAAGAAACAAAAATAAAATCTAACTCACTTTCGTAGGAATCACGATTGCACTTAGTATGTGCAACAAGCCTTTAAACCCCTAGGTCACCCTAGTGGACGAGTTGTATCTTATGAGGGTTTGCAGCGGATCTACTCACAAAATCCCAATGCAAAAATGCAACTATATGATATGTATGCAAAGAAAATTTAGGAATTAAAGTTCAATTAGAGGCAAAGTCTCAAATATTCAAAAGTTCTCATATGCTCACTTAAAGTAAAATACTCCATCTTATTCTTCACACCACTTGTTAAAAGATTTAGCCTATGAGCACTTTGTGTGTGTGTGGAAATTCATAGTAAGAAGTTTCGAGTTTAGATCTTCACACCTTAGCACTTATTACTATCTTTTTTTTTTCTCCCCTCATTTTTTTTTTCATAGGTCGAGTTTCCTTAGGCTTTCTAAGTTACCCATATAACGAGCTTTTTGTCAAAAGACTCCCAAACCAGTCGGCTTTAGGGCATTAGGTGAAGAGACACCCCTAAGAACATATTTACTCAAGTAACAAAGGCCATGAAACATTCGACTTCTCTTCTT